TAGACACATCCAAGCATTATCCTGCCTCTCCCAAGTTCTTCTCCATAGCTTTGTGTCCAGCCTGCCTTGCGTGGCTGGGGGAGCCAGACAGCAATTTGGGGAGAATTCCTCCTGGATTTTAGGCCTACTGGGATGACCAAGGCAGAGGGAGAGCTCTGTGTCACCCAGCACAGCTGGGCCATCCCCTTTTTTTTTATTCTTCCAGGCTTGTGTCTTGTCCTGCTGGGCAGGACCAGCCTGGGCTGTGAACTTGCTTATCTTCAGCTGCACAGAAAGAGAGGGGATTTCCTCTGGCTCTTTTGAGAGCAGCTTTCTCTAAACTGTCTGGATGTAATGGACTCTCATCAACTTAGCAGGAAATAAGCTCTGCTCTGCTGCCTGATCTGGAGCTGGGCTTTATTGACCGCTCCTGCTCAAAGCCTTTGTTCACCAGGTGTGACTAAGTAGCCAGCCCTAAGCCCAGGAGTGAACAGTTTTTTGGATCTTATGAACTTTAATGAGGTATCTAAGCTTGCAAAACTTCTTTACTCCAGGACTTTGCCCTGCTGGGCAGCAGCTGAGGTGCTGAGCTCAGGGAGCAGTGAAGTTGTGCTGCCTGTCCCCGGCTGGGAAGGAGCCCAGGGGGGACATCTCAGACCTCAAAGAGATGCAGCAGCAAGTCTGGGAGGGAAGCACGTGCCTTTCTGAAAGGTCAGGCTTGATGCTTCACAGGTTTTGAGGCTGCATTTCCTCACCACTCAGGGGAAGTGAGAAGTGCTGGTGGATGAGTTGATTTTGCAGCCCGTGCCTGACACAGAATCCTACAAAGCTGCCACGGGAGATCAGTGGGTGTGTGGATCACTGAGTGAACAGCAAACCTGCCCTCTGTGCAGTGCAGAACTTGCTGCTCCCCAGAGCCTTTTCAGCTGCAGTGGCAGATGCTCAGAGCAAAGGAAAAGCCAGTTTTTGCGTGTGGGGAAACTCTGTGGGATAGTGGAGGAGGAGGAGGAGGAGGAGGGATGGAGGACAAGTCATGGCTTGGGTGGGTGTGTGAGGGCAGAGACTGGGTCCAGCTGCTGTAGGACATAAATAGAGATATATTTATGTGCTCTAAGCCTTGCAGCAGATAAAGGTGTATAATATATATTGATTTACTCCTCAGTTTCCACTGCCACGTCCTGCAACGACCCGGGAATTCCCCAGAATGGGAGCCGGAGCGGGGACAGCAAGGAGGCAGGAGATTCCATCACCTTCCAGTGCAACCCGGGCTATGCCCTGCAAGGGGAGGCCCAAATCACCTGTGTGCAGGTCGAGAACAGGTTTTTCTGGCAGCCAGACCCTCCCTCCTGCACAGGTAAGGACACGCAGCCACCCCCCCACCGACCTCCCTTCCCATTCCCAGGCTCCTGCACCTGGAGGTCCCACCTGGTTCCAAGAGGTGCATTTCCAGGTGTACCTGTCCCACAGAACTTTTTTTGGGTTGATCCCTGGAGTGTCTGGGACAATGAGGATCTAGTTCATGCTGGGAGCTCCCAGGACACGGTGCAGTGGAAGGGATGATATTTAACCTGACAAGGCAAAATTAGAGGCTCCTTTAAAACTCAGGATTGGGGTCGTGGGTGAATCATTTCTGCATGAGGAGACAGCAAACTCTGCCATGAGAAAGGGCTTTCTGACATTTTCTTTGAGCTCATAAAGGAATAAAAGAAGCTCCTAAAAGGGATTCTTTTTAATACATCCAAAACCCAGTCATGCCAAGCACTCTAGAGCAATAAACACCAAATTTGCTGGCCAATTAAATGCCAACCACAAATGACTTTACCTCTAACCTTCATTGCTGCTTGGGCACTGTTACCCCGAGCAAGAAAAACCAATTAATTCACTTTCTAACATCACACTTCATGCCCAGGGTCTGTGCTGCAGGAGGACTTGGGTTCTGAATGACTCTGGATTGAGTGTGGCACCTCCTCAGCCTCCCAGAGACAGTTCTTTTAATCTTCCCAGGGCTGTAACTAAATCATGGTGTTGGATGTCGTGCCCATCTCTTCATTTTCCCGTGGAGTTTTCCCACCAGGAGCTGAACTCTGAGTCCTTTGCAGAGAAAAGCAGCCAGTGCCTTTATCTTGGAGTGAGATGAGTTCCCACAGGTCACCTCCTGTTTGACCTGGAGTCATAAACTCCGTGAAGAAGCTGCAAACAACATCCTGCTCCTTCCCTTCTCCAGTGACAAAGGGTTTGGAGGAACAATCAGTGGCCAAATACCAGTTTCACAGGAACTGGGGGGGGACAGGCTGCCTGCTTGGAGCTTGAGCTGGGAAAGGGTGTTAAATTGAAAGCTTGGATTTTACATATTTAGCATTTCAAATGGATTTTCACATCTTTGCACGACTTCCTCGGTCCCCGAACGACGTGGGCTGAGCAGGAACCTCGACTGAGACAGCCCCAGGAGCTTTGGGGTATTTGAAGTTTGTATCCTGGCCAGCTCCAAACAGCAGTGGCTGGGATCATTTGCTGCTTTAAATCCTTTGGAGACCAGGGGGTGGGATTTTCAAAGGAATCAGGGGGTGTTGAACACTCGTCTCCCCCGGGCCTTTCAAACACGAGTCCTCACACTTTGGTTTCTTCTGGATTTTCCCCTGAGTGGAGGGGAGAGCACCCTTGGGGTTAAGATGAAGGTGAATGGACACAGAATAGGTGCTTGTGGTTCTTCCAAGGTGTTTGTGGGTGACCCTCAACCAAATTCTTTCGTGTCTGTGCTGTGATTTCCTTGTCTATCCCAGAGGGATAACAGCCCTCCTGTGGCTGGACTTGGGGCCTTGGGGGAAAGTCTCTGGTTTAATCTCCACTGTGACCTTTTTAGACCAGCCCCACTGTGTTTTACCCGATGTCTGGAGATTCTTGTGTGTTTACAGGCTTTAGGAAAGCCCACAGGATAAAAATAGAAAAATACCAAAGCCCACACGTGCTCCCTCCTTCGTGGAACATCCCTCCCTGGATTTGTTCCATCATTTTTGCCCCATCCCAGCTCATTTCCCACCCCTTTGTTGCCTTAGGCTGGTGTCAGACCCCCGAGTTTAACACAGACTGTCCTCCCCTCCCTCTCCCCCCATCCCAAATCTGGGAGGATTGATCTGAGCACCGAGGGAATCTCAGAGCATCGACCCTCCCGAGGAGGCTGCAGAAAGGCTGACGGCAGAAAATCACTCCTGTTTGCCACGGTGGAAACACAAGCAGGCACTTCCAGCCTTAAAAAAGTAATAATTGATTTTTCAATCAGCTTGCCATTTAATGTGTTGGTAACTGGAATAAACATGAATGAGCCATTAGGCCCAGACAACATGTTTGCACTTGGTTAGCAACAGATTGGGGCTGGGAGCTGCCTAGAGGAATGCAACAGAAAAGCATAAAATAACTCTCTGTCCCTCTGGTTGCTCACTTACAGATCTCAGGAGGGTTGTGGTGGCATCCCTGGCTCTCTCTGTGTGTGTCCCCTCTGGAATGACCTCTGGGAGAGCCACCACAACCTCCTGTAACACAGGACTGGGACTCCAACACTCCCGTGGGTCCCTTCCAGCTCAGGATATTCCAGGATATCTGTGTCAGCTGCCTCCCTGACACCTCAGCTGTCCACAGCTCCCTGCTTTGCCTTCCCTGCACCTCACCTGCTGGTTTTTCAGTCTCTGTGACACAAACCCTGCCCCCTTTGCCTGTTCTTTGTGTTTGCAGCTCCCTGTGGAGGGATCCTGACGGGCCCCTCGGGGGTGATCCTGTCCCCCCAGTACCCCGAGCCCTACCCCCCTGGCAAGGAGTGTGACTGGAAGCTCACGGTGTCTCCAGACTATGTCATTGCCCTGGTGTTCAACATGTGAGTACCCAAGGGGTTGGACACCCTCTGGGGCTGTCCCTGGGCACGGGGAGGGGGCACCAGGGGCTGCAAGTCCCTCTGTGAAGGAGCCAAACCAAACCTGGTGGGATGGTCCCATATCCTGGGCAACCTGTTCCCAGGCATTAATCTGGGAGCATCAGATTAACATCATATCTCAGCTGCAGCTCCTCTTTGACAGGCACAGTTTTTGCACAGTGTTTGTGTGCCAGAAGCATCCCCTCAGATCAGCTGTTTTAACAGAACTTAATTCTGCCAAATATTGTTTTAGTCACAAAAAAAAAAACCCTGGGAGGAAACATGTGGGGTAGTTTTAATTCTGAAATACCTTGCTGAGAGGGCTTATTTAAATTTAACCGTGGTGCAGCACAGGCATCTGTGGGATGGAGTCAGGAATGTCCTGTACATCAGGAGTTCTGCTCCAAGCACTCCTTTGGTTTTGCAGCTTCAGCCTGGAGCCTGGCTATGATTTCCTTCACATCTACGATGGCCCTGACTCCCTGAGCCCCCTGATTGGGAGCTTTTATGGCTCCCAACTCCCCGAGAGGATCGAGAGCAGCAGCAACAGCCTGTTCCTGGCGTTCCGGAGCGACGCCTCCGTCAGCAACACCGGCTTTGTCATCGAGTACACAGGTGAGGGTGGGCACCTGGGCACACCTGAGCATGCCTGGGCACACCTGAGCATGCCTGGGCACACCTGGGCACACCTGGGCACGCCTGGCCTGGCTCACTCAGCAAACACTGGCACCTTCCCTGTGCTCTGACCAGGTTAAAGCAAAGCTGGACCGAGTGGGAGAGGCTCGAGGCGCCGTGGGAGCCTCTCTCCTCTCCGGGAGTCATCCCGAGGTTCTGCCACAACCAAAACACATTTAAGAGGCATGTAGGGAAAATGGGGAATTCTGGAGGCTGGAGAAAGAGCCAGGGTGCATAGGTAACATGAACACAGCTAAGACAGCAGCAGAAAAGGGCTGTGGGATCTGTCACAAGTGGCTGCTTTTTTGTGGGACTTTCGTGAACAGAGAAGAAAGTCTTTACTTTTTTTTCTTTCAAGAAAATCAAGGGAGATTCCCAGAAAGCATTCCTTTACTGTCCAGGCTGTATTGTGTATAATATTTCTTGCTCCACACTGAAATCAAATAGTTCTGTCTCTGGTGAGCAGAAGATGCCACTTCATAGAATGACAGAGTGGTTTGGGCTGGGAGGGACCTTAAAGCTCCTCCAGCAGGAGGTCCCCCTTGAGCCTCTTCCAGGCAGCTCCTTGTGCTCCTGGTGCTCCAGCCCCTTCCCCAGCTCCATTCCCAGCTCCTCAAAGGAGGTAAAGGAAGGAGGGAGGCAGTAAAACAGTGTGGTGGCCTCAGCTGTCGTGGTTGGAGAGATCCCCGGGTGTTTTTAGCTCTGGAACAAGCTGGGAAGTGACAGACCTGGCACTGCTGGTGGGGAGAGGGGGAAGAAGAAGGCGGCTTTGGCAGGTGCACCCCTTGTTTGTGCCTGGAGTAGGTGGAAGAAGGGAGTTGTTACGAGCTGGAGTAAAAATCTGCTCTGCAAAAGCGGGATCTGACGAGTCAGAGCAGGGAGATGGAGCAAAAACTGGGGGATGGAAACAGAGCTGGAAAGAAACGATTCCTCCAGCCTGCTCTGGGCTGCAGGGACTGGTTTGGAGTGTGGGGAGAACAGCTCCAGGTGTCCTGTGGAACTGGGCTTGGCCTCTCGTGCTGGAGAGGTGAGGGGTGACCCCAGGAGCACGTGGGGGTTTGGGTGAAGGGCACAGGAAGGAGTTTCCAGGCTGGGAGCTCCAAACTGGGAGATTTCCTCACGCTTTTCAGTAACTCCTCTTTCTCTTACGGGCCAGAAGTGAAGAGGCATGAAATGGAAAGCAAATGAAGCAAAGCTGATTACTTTTCACCCTTCCAAAGGAATGGAGAAAAAAAACAAAACCAAACCATCCCCGAGCCCCATTTGAAATTCGTGATTATTTTGCCAGAACTGTTTTGCCCATCCTGAGCTTATAAACATCCACTCAGCATTATTTATGGGTTATTTAAGGTGGAAACTCCCCACAGGAACGCTGTGCTGTAAAATTCCTTGCAAGGCAGGCTGTTTAACAACACCCAGCACTGCTTGAAAACAGTCAGAACTGGGTGATGCTGTTTGAAAATCAGCTCTGTGTCCTTATGGAAAAGGTGATCCATGGACTTGGCAGGAGTTTTGGAGCGTGCTGGGCTCCTGGTGAGCTGGTGTGGATGCCCAGAGAAGCTGAGGCTGCCCCAGCCCTGGGAACATTCCAGGCCAGGTTGGTGGTGTAGGGAAAACCAGTGGCCTCGTGGCTGCTGTTCCTGGTGGAAACATTTCACATCCCTTTGTTCCCTGTTCACCTGGATCCCCAGTGGTGAAGGAATCCTTGGAGCTGATCCCATTTTTCACTGCAAGCAGAAAAACAAAAGCAAGGTCTGGGGGCTTTGCTGTTCTCTGTTTCTCCCTCCACACCTTCCCCAAATACTGAAAGGCCATGATTTAATGCTTAAACACATTCTAATTGTTCACAGAGCCACTGCTCTCAGGAAAGCCCTCAGCTTTAATGAGCAATTTCCAAATGACAAAAGAGCAGGATTAATCAAAGCCCCTAATTATATTTCAGGCAGGGGGAAAAAAAGGGAAAAAAAAAAAAAGAAAAAAAAGGGAAAAAAAACCCTTAGAAGAAGAGGGAAAGAAGTATCCAAGACCTGACAGCTCCGTGGTCTTTACTGGAATTTTCATATGTAAATGGAGTTTTTAACTCTGCAGGGCAGAGTGAACAGGGAGAAAAATGTCTTCATTTTGTTTAAGTGCTTGTAATCATTTTGCCATAATTGCAGCCGTGCTGCACATCTGGAGAGTCACCCAGCTCACACATGGCACTGAATTTCCACGGTGAGAGCAGAGACAGCTCTTGGATCCAGGAGTGTGGGGTGCCAGGAGATGATGGGAACAGATGTGGCACGTCTGAAATACGCTCCATGTTCAGTCTGGGTTTGTGTGTCCTGGTTTGCAAAGTTCCTCCCAGCCTGTTCCTGTGCAAGGAGAGGGAGTGGGGAGAGTTAAATGGAGCAGCTGAGGGAGCTGGGGGGGCTCAGCCTGGAGAAAAGGAGGCTCAGGGGGGACCTTCTGGCTCTGCACCCCCCTGACAGGGGGGGGGAGCCGGGGGGGGGTCGGGCTCTGCTCCCAGGGAACAAGGGACAGGAGGAGAG